GGACGATTTCGCTTATATCAAATAATATTATGTATAAATATTTTATTTATACACCAAACTCACACGGCAAACCCAGCTGACTCAAACAATAGTTAATCTATTTTTTCTTTTTAAAGGAAGCAAATACAAAGGAACTTACCGACTTATTTGCTTATTTCGATTAATCTTTTACCAATGACTTTTTCTTTCTTTTTTGGAAAATTACTCCTACAATTGGCTTCTAAGCGGTACTGCGACGCTTTCTTCTCAATCTTTTCGAAACCGCAAACTTTAAATTTTATACTATTACTGATTTATATAAACACGCTTAACTTTATTCGAATAATAATTTTGACCAATTGGACTACGCTAAACTTGTCCTGGTTAGGTCTACGATTTTTATAAGTAGTGAAACTCTACACTACAACACACTTCGCACACACCATACGATAAAATTTACGATTTTCGCACAATTTATTAATTACAAGTCCGTGGCCGATGGACCATTTGATCGGTAGCTTACGATATTTTAAATTTTGAATAAAAACACTTTATTTTTATTCTATAATATGGACTGTATTTTTTATTTTATATCTTTTACATTTATATACGAAAAACTATAGGTGCGCGTAAGTGAGCCGGACTCATCATTCGCTGTCCGGTTTTCGACTAACTTACAAACAAAACCCTACGCTGCACCGCCCCCCACCTATTCTATAACAAATATATCTAGCGTTTTTTCCCCAATATCAAACAGCCACCATACTACTTTGGGTAAATACACGTGGTGACTCAATCCCTCCTATAAATGATAACCGTCAATACTCGTGAAATTATTGATGTCAAAGAATTGACAATCAATTATAATAAATTATAATTATAAATTATAAATTATAATAAGTTTATTTTACAATTTTTATTTTCCCCTCTTACAAACTTTTGTAGTCATACCCCGAGTAATAATATTTTAATAATACAATAAAATATAGTAGCTCTCCCAGTTTTTCCTTTTTGAAAAAAATTTTCTAGCTTCCAATGGCTTATAATGAATTTCAATTTTATAACTGCAATTATAATTAATAAAAAAAAATGAGAATAATCAAATCTTTTTTTTGGTAAATTTATGTTTACAATTTTGATACAATTTGCCAAATATGTAACGAAATATACAACTACTTCATTTTTTTAATAATTTCTTTATAGAAAATACAATACAAAACATGGAATTTATATTTCATACTAAATGTAATTTCTATATTATGTATTTATTCAATTATTATACTTATATATTATAAAACTAGTAATTAAGATATAATTAAAAAATTTGAAGCTGATTTTGCTTTTAGAATAATCTAATAATGCCTTCTATCATTTATATTTAAATGATCTATTTTTATATTATCTATACTTATCGCAATCATGTGAAAAATTCAAATAAAATTTATGATTTTTTTATTATTAACGTATTTTTAATATAAAAATGATTAACTAAAGAAGTTAACTTTGCATACAAATTTATTAAGTACGAGATAAAATATAATATGTCCAACTCAGAATTACCAAAAATAATATATTTGGTTATCTAAAATTAAATATTCTTTTTAGATTACGTATTTTTCAAAAGATTAGAAAAATTTTATCAGTATAAAACCCAGCACAGAAGGGTCTCGGCACAGTGGTGACGTGGCATAGTTGGATTAAGTATAATGATATCTGACTGTGATTAAAATCACTATAAAAATAAAAGCTTGGATGCAAATCTTTAGATAGATTATAATTGTAAAACTCCATCGATAAATTTAGGTGAAACCCAAATTATTTTTTTATGATTTTTACACAAATTATTTATACAGTAACATGTTACCGAAAAGTTTGGAAAATTATAGACTGGTAGTAGGCCACACAAATAGAGTCAATAAATTAATAAATAACAAATTCAAATTATTTAAAAATTATAATATTAAAATAATTACCTTCTCAGCTTCGCATCAAAGATTATATAACATTATTTATAAAAAACCCAGCACAGGGGGATCGCGGCACAGTGGTGACGTGGCATAGATGGATCAAGTATAATGATATCTGACAGTGATTAAAATCACTATAAAAAAAACGCTTCGATGCAAATCTTTAGAATAGTGTTTAATTTTAAAAAACTGGTGGATTATTCCAAAAGCTACATGTTCTAAAAATAATTTGTTATATAAAACCAACAATAATTTTTTGTTAGTACAATAAAAAATAATCAAGGAATCATATATTTCTATCCAGTAACAAAAATATAATTGATTTAAATCAATAAGGTTTTTTTATTGTTAAAATTAACAATAAAAAAAATTGTCTACTATATTTTTTTTAGTGTAGTCATTTTTGATTATTGCTCTTACTCCCAAACATCGTCCAATTTAAAAATTATTTGATAATCTTAATAGTGATAAATAATGTAAAATAAAATTTACCTTTATTAAATACTAAGCAGGTTATTATCAACAAAAGAAATATCAATTGCCAATTCTAGAATTAAGTAAAATATTTTTTTAGATTCAATAATGTAAAGTAATGTTAAGTGAATTACTCACCTCCATTTTTACTCTAAGTGTAATATTCTCTATTACTAAAGAGAATATTTGAGTTAAATTGAAACTTTAAAAATTAATGACATCATTTATTTTATTTTAAAAAGAACATTTTAAGTAAATTTTAAGGTATATACAAGGTAGTTTCTGATATTTTAGCATATTAATAACATTTAATTCAGAGAATATTTCATGTTACTTTGTAGCATGAAGTAGAGTGAAATATTTGCTCTTTTATAGGTTTGTTTTTTTTAAATACATCGAGGACCACTCTGTATACTTTATTATTTACTGAATTAATTTAGTTTCACATTATATTACACGTGTAAAAAAAGCCAAATCGCAATCATCAAAACACATTCTTGATTTTATATCACCAAAATAACATTTATTATTTAACTTTTATTTAAACAATTTATTTTTATTTTTAACTTTAACTATTAGTATGTAACATAGATTTTAATTTAATATATATTTTAATTTTATATTTTATTTTTGGAATGATGGAGTATTTCTGGAAAATGTTTAAATGTTAAGTTTGAAAAAGTTAACTTTTCATGCAAAAGTAGTTATTTCTAATCCCCTTCTGTGCGCAAATAAATGGTTAGATTTTCAAAAAATATATACGTTATAAAAACGAAATTTTTAAGAATCTTATTAAAACAATTATTCTGAATTATCTGTTTTTCAAAATATTGACTTTCTAAAAAAAAAAAAATTAAAAATATGTCTAACTTTAACAATTTTAAGAATTGTAATATTTTGGGGATTTTTTTTAACGGAGAACAACGGAAATTATTTCAATTTTGAAGTTAATGTCTTCAACAAGATACAATTTTTCATATAAGAATATAAAAAAAAGATTTATGTCATTAGTTTACTATGTTTAAGTTTAATTTGAATCAGTATTTAAGAAAAAATATGACAATACTATAAATTAATTTAAATTTGGCAAATTGTAATTTTTTTAGTTGATTTTAAATTAATTAGTTTATAATTAAGTTTTTATAAATTTTATTTTCATTATAAATTTAAAAAAACGGTAGCACAGTGGGGTTGAGGCACAGTGTGNAAAAAACGGTAGCACAGTGGGGTCGAGGCACAGTGTGGACGAGGCATAGATGGGACAAGTATAGATGATATCTGACAGTGATTAAAATCACTATCATAAGAAACGCTTCGATGCAAATCTGTAGATAATGTTTCATTTAGAAAAATTGGTGGGTTATTCCAAAAGCAACATCAACTCTTATTTCTTTAATTATATCCTGATTAGTAGTTGTTTGATTTTAAAATATTNTTAGTAGTTCTTTGATTTTAAAATATAATATATGAATAAATACTAATTATAGTTTTTAAATTTAGTATGAAATTGTGAGGCCAGCTATGATGTATGGTTCATAGTGTTGGGCGGTTGATAAGAAAGTAGAGCAGAGAATAAGTGTAGCAGAGATGAGAATGCTTAGTTAGATGAGTGGAGTGACTAGAGAAGATAGGATAAGGAACGAGCATATAAGAGGAAGTATAGGTGTTGCGTCAATCGTGGATAAGATGACAGAAAATAGACTTAGATTGTTTAGTCATGTAATGAGGAGAGAAGAATTGGAAGCTGTAAGAACAGTTATAGAAATGAAATTTAAAGGAAGAAGAGCTAGAGAAAGACCAAAAAAGAGATTGAGGGATGTTATTGAATGCGACATGAGGACAGCTAATGTGAGCTTAGAAGATGTGGGAGATCGTGTCAAGTGGAAGCTTAGGATAAGGGTGGCCGACCCCAAGTAGTTGGGATTAAGGCAAAGAAAAAGAAAAAGATTACCAGAAATTCCGGTGGCAATTGACATAATATGATTGTTGTTTGGGAATGTACAATTTAGCGTTTAGTTTGGTTTAAACAACATAGCGTAAAATCAATTACTTACTCTATCGGTTGTATATTAATATACACTACACTTTAATGATACAATAAATAAATATACTCACACATACACACATATGCATTTATAACATTGTGTCTAATGTAAGTATAACATGATAAAAAGTAACCGTAAAATGAAAAGAATGGAATATAAGTTTTAGTCCTCATATTAAATGTAATGTAACTCGAAAAATATTTGTTTAAATGAAAAAATATAACTTAATTTTTTTGTTTAGAATTGTCTTTTAAACATCTTTTGTACGAAACTTTTTTTTGTAAGTTAAATATTTTTTGAGAAAATTATAAAAGCTCATATTTTTGAACTTTTGCTAGGCTGTAAAAAAAAAGCTCAATTCCAATCAATGAGGACTATTAGTATGTCATTATACATAGTTTAATTCAACTTTTAAAAAAACAAAATTTGGTTGGGAATTTTTTAAGAAATTTTTCCATGTTGACTGGCCTAGATGTCAATTTTAAACTTGTAATTGAGCTAAAAGTTATGGTAATATATTCAGTTTTTTTTACTATAAACTTTCAAAAATCTTTATCAAAAATTTTTAATCAACTTTAAAGAACCAAAAAAATAGGTTAAAATTGAAAATTTGGACTGATTATTTTTAACATATTAAAAATCAAATCAACAATAATTTGAAAACAAAATTTTTTTCATCTTTTAATTATTATTTAAAATGTAATTAGTAATAATATTAAAACTTAGAAGTGATAGAAAATGTCTAATTGCAGATTTGAAAACAACACGAAAAGTTGATTTAGAAAACTATATTTTTGCTTCTGATGAAAGTTCCTTGTAGTCCAGTGCATTTTTTTATGGTAACAAGCAGTTTTTTGTAATATTATATTATTACATATAATATTAATATATAATAAAATGTTATCATTTGTTCATGTATGTCACATATTATGATTATACAAGATCACCAAAACAGGGTTCTCTTATTTAAAATACAAAATAACCCTATAACTATACGATAAAATCTCCCTCTTGTAGAAATTATTAAGTAACGCCTACACGCTGGGACCCCATTTTAATTAACCAATTAGAATACAAAGCCTCAGCTTCCAAAGGCGTAAAGCATTTGAGTAAATGTATTTGAATAAAAGTATTCAAATACTTTCATTGGTATTGAATAGTATTAGCTTCGATGCGAAGCTGAGAAGGTATTGGTTTTACTAAGATGTGTTTTTTTTTTTTTTTTTTTTTTTTTTTTTTTTTT